AATATACAATTTCATTGAATTCTTTTGGGCACATGCATAAAAGTTTCTAGAAATTTTCTGTTACCTTTTAATATTACTTACATGAGGAAAACTTTAAATAAATTCCTTATATTTTACTCTCTGAACTTTTGTCTTGACTTCTTGTTTTTCTTCTAAAACGTGCAAAAATCTCTTAATACTTTTCAGACTGTGCGTTTTAAATGGAGACCAACAGGTGTGTGTCACATGTTATGTAAGCACGATTCTTACACAACATTTCTCAACAGTATGGTTTCAAAAATGGGATCGGTAACCAGTTAGATCAATAGTCTGGAATATCCAAAAGATGGATAGAGCATGGAGTAACGTTTCTCTAATTACAAAGAAGCGCCCCTGCTGATTTTATATTTGGGTAGACTTCCTCTTGAAACTAGTGGATCGCAAGAGGCTTATGCTCTAGCTTATTATTTGATAGTTAAAGACTCGTTCTACTAAGTATTATCATATTTTGATAGCTTAACGTCTCATTAAAGTATTATTAGAGTTGTTAAAAAGTCCAACTGAACTCAGTTGTAACTCTAAATCATGTGAGTTAAGGTCAAAAAAATTTATAAGTTAAAAAAAAATCCAATAAATCAAAAGCTTTATAAGTCAAAAAGCTTCAAATGATATGTTTATCAAATGGAAGTGTACAATATAACATTAGTTTCACAGTATGTATTTATTATTTATTTCTTCGATTTTCTAACAATTTGTCATTTTACAAATAGGATGCAAAGAATGCACCTCATCATGGCTATTTAAAAAAAGAATGTTAGTATAGTGTATAATGCCCACCCAAAAAAAAACAGTGGGAATAAAAAGGAAAAATTAAAGGAAAACATATCTTAATCATAAAGTCTAATTGTCAGTCATTCAATTACAAATTTATACAAAAATTACATTATGATATAAGCATTCCAACCTTGTCAATCAATATGGTACGTACATGTTTGTGTAGCTAAATCCAAAGTTAACATGTTGTCCCGAATCCAATAGTCAATCCCTACGGTATATGTTAAGAAATAGAAATGTTAGTTCTATATGGAGTAAGACTAAAATCAAAGGTACTCTAGCAGCATCAAAAAATTACACAACAATAACAATTATAATAATAATACACTTAGAAGTATGGAAAGACACTAGCTCTTAATTCTCTCATTTTGGCAAGGACTTCGCTTTTACTTCAACTCTACCTACAGTTCCTGATATTTTTTTTTCCCTGGCAACCTCACTAGTTACTTCATCACTTTTTCACTTCACTTATCACTTCATTTCTTTTGAACAAGTTTCACGATGCCACTTGTCTATTTTTGCTATTTCATTGTTTTTTCTGTCTGCTTTCAACTCTTATTTCAAAAGCCAATCATGAGTTGAACCTCAGTACAATGTTTGCCTTAACATTGGCTTCGAGACTTACTATTCCTCTCAACTCTTTTCCTACAACCTCTGTCTTTTGCTTCTTACAATCTTTCAGTTGATGATGTGTAACTGTTGAGGATTTTGTTGCCTACTATCTAATTTTGCTCTCCAATTGTCATTGCCACTCCTTTTCTGTTAGATGACTATACACAATTCGTTTGTTTCCTTTGTACACTCAAGACTCATTCTGCTTTTGAATGGCTCATGAGTCTGGAAAGTGGATGAAATAATCTTCTAGATTGAAATGCGACGCAATTATCAATGAAGAAAAGGTATCTCAAATTTATTTTTTATTTTTTGCCCAGGAGTGGCAACAGATTCCTTCTCTAATTTGTGAAGACAATCATAAACTATATGAGCAAGTAATGCTTCTCTATCCACAAATGTAACATGCATCGAACCTTTGTTCAATGGTCTTGTCACTAGTCAAAAAAGCTGACTTCCAGTCATGTCCAATTAGAGAAGAAGAGTACTTCTCCTTCATCCTTTCATACACCAAATGGCTAAGAACAACAGGATTATCCTTACTCGCATGCTCCACTTGGTAGAAAAAGAAACAATTAAAAAAGAAATTAAGGAGTATGAGTGATGACAAAGGAACCTGAATTGTTATTTTTTAAATTAATTTTGTCATTGCAAGTGGTGAAACTCAAATTTTAATTTTAATTTTAAAAGCCAGTTTTGCCATTATTATTGGCGAAACTCTCTGCTGACATGTGTTGACATAAGGGAGTTTTGTCAGTGATAATAGCAAAACTTAATTTTAAAAAAATAAAAATGGGTGATGACATGTTTAAAAACACCCAAGACAAATAAATTCTTTTGAAACAAATTATATTTTAATAAATAATTTATAAAAAATTATACTAAAATAAAAAATGTATACATAATACAGAGATGATGCTATGGCCACTCAAAATGAGACAATATTGTTATCACCACTTCAAATTGCTAGCAAAGTGCCTCAACGTTGAGAGGCATGATATCATCCTACTACTGTGTAGGGTTTAAAAAGGAAGAAGAAAGAAAGAAAAAAATAAAAAACAAAAAATGATAAGAAAAGAAAGATAAAAGGAGGAGGAAGAGGAAGAGGAATAGGAAGAAGTGAGGATAGTGTAGATGAGAAATCTTATAAAGAAGATAAACAAAAAAGTACACGTGATAAAAGAATAATAAAAAAATTAACTTAGCTTTTACCAAAAAATATATATATAAAATACTTATAAAAGTTAAAAAAAATAAAATAAAGTTGGTGAACAAAATGCAAACTTATCTTAAAGTTGGAAGATGAAAATATTTTTTTTTTCATAATTATAATAAAATAATTTTATTAACTTTAAATTATTTTCATTTTATAATTCGCTGTCAAATAATTTTTAAGTTTAGATAAATGTTGGATTTATCAAAATTTATTAAATAATTTACTTTAAAAAATAAAAATATTTTAAAAAATATATTTCAAACAAGTTGTTAGATACTTAGATAAAGTCATTTTTAATTGATTGCGTCGTGCGTTCTGCTCCTCTTAATAGGATTGCTGAAAATTGAATTGAATTATTTTTGAACTGCTAAATTATTATAAAAATAAAAATTAATTAAATAAAAAACTGAAAAATCAAGAACCAAAAAATTCATATATTTAGTTTATATGTAACCAAATTAAACTACACTTAATTAGCAAAAAAATATAATAAAATAAAACTACACTTACCGTTGTTTTATATAAATATGTGGTACGTACTCCTATTTATTTTATACTCCCGTATTCTTCTTTATCGATAAGTTCACTCCTTTGACTAATATGTATATTTTCTCTAACTTTTTTTTACTCTTCAACGAAAAACTCTGATTTTTTGCCTTATTGAGTCATCCTTTAATCTATATTAAAAGTCAAAATTCACATAAGAATAAGTATTAAAAAAAGCAAAATTGAAAATTGGTTTTAAAATAAAAACCATTTTTCATAATTTTAACTAAACCACCAATATCATTTATGATTTAATTTATTCAATTTTGGTATTACAATCAAATCAAAACGAATTACATTTTTTTTTTATGTTCAATATTAAATAACTTTTATGTAAAAATTGAAACAAAGCGACCTGTAAGTATCCTTACCTTCTGGTAACTTAATAATATTTTGGTTGATGAAATAGATATAGCTCTGTATACTTAGGTTCTTACAAAATTAAATTTAAGATTGTATAAAATAAATGTGATTTATTTTATAGAAACTTTATACACGTATATGTTATTTTTCACTTAGTTCTAACTGTGATAAATGTTTTCCGTTTTAAAAAGTAACTATAATTTCATTTTTTTTTTCAAAAGTTATCTAAACCATTTTGCTTCAAAATAATCAGAAATTTAATATCTTTTAGAAAATTTCAACTCGGTAATTTTCTTTGAAAACTGGAGCAAATGAGCTCGTTTGTTACCTTATAAATTACTAATAGTAGTGTTAATCAATAAAAACTATTTATTAATGTGTATGCGCTTCTTTTAATTATTGTTTAGAGGGGAAAATTGTTTCTAAAACTTTCGATAAAATTTTGATTATAAAATATTTTAATTACATAATAACCCAATTCAAATTTTGTTTCTGACTCGTGGGCCTATCCTATAAAAGTTGACCATAATTGGCATTGGGCTTCGTGGGGTGCCCACATAAGACCTAAATTTTTCCTACCACCCATTTTTTATATTCACATTATTTTATATTTTTTCTGTAAAAAATATTCTTATACTGCTTTTGAAACTAGTTTTTAAAATTCATATCATATACTTTCAAAAATAATTTTCAGAATAATATTTAACAATGCTTATGAAATTGTTTTGTAAAATATGTTTAACACTAATTCGGATTGTGTTAAATACATTTTGAAACAGTTATTTTCAAAAGCATGTGACAATAATTTCATAAAATAATGGTAGAAAGATCCATCATTCACAAAAAAATATTTCGGAATTTCTCAAAATATATTTTTAGAATTAAAATTTTGGTATATATGAAATTAATTTTAAAATATGTATTTTAAAAATGAGACACGGGCGCAACACACAGATAAATAGATGATAGATAGATGGAAGAAAAGGAGAGCAAAAATGTAGCCTTTTTGAAGATGTGGACTCAGTGAACTAAAATCTCATTGGGCCCAAATGAAATTTATAGAGTTTGATAAAAGGAGCAAAGAACACGTTACTGTTTGGAATCAAAGATCAACCTTGACTCATAGAGTCATAGTTGCTAAGGGTCCAAACAAAAACGGAAATGAAGTGATTCGGTTTTGTTTACCCTTTCACATGTGATAGAACAGCCAAGAATGGTTCCAACACATTGGTGGGTCAACTGCAAGTCTGCAACCTTAAAATTTCTCAACCATGTTTCCTTTCATGCAACTGCCACACTCATGCTCTTCGAACACCTAAATAAATTTCAGTAAGCTTTTTCCTTTTTAATCTTACTCCTCTTTCATTTCCCCTAGGTGCCTCTGCTTCTTTTTTTCTTTTTTGAGTGCTACGATTAATGTTTCTATTGTTTGTTTTTCACAATGTGTGAATTGGGTTTATCCCAGAAGAGGAAAAGATTATAACTTTGTTGTAGCAAATTCATAGTTGTCAGAGTCTCTTTTGCTTGCAAGCTCAAACACTGATACACCGTGACATTCTGAAATGAATCGGGTTCACTCTCAAATTTGCCATAGCAGTGATGCTATCGCCAACCCCACTATTATTTCCTCATCTTCTTCTTGTTCTTCTTTTTCTGAATCATTACCTTACAGTTCTGATTACAAGAAATTATTAGCCCCTCCTTTAGCTTCTTCATCTGGCAATAGAATAAGCCCTGCAGTTGTTTTCATCATGGTCATTTTAGCTATTGTGTTCTTCATCTGTGGTCTTCTTCACTTCGTTGTTAGATTCCTCATAAAGCACAGGTCCTCTTCATCAATTTCTCAATCCAATAGGTACCCTGACATGTCTGAATCTGATCCTTATCAAAGACAGTTACAACAACTCTTCCATCTTCATGATTCAGGCCTGGATCAGGCTTTCATTGATGCTCTCCCAGTTTTCCTTTACAAGGACATAATAGGTTTGAAAGAGCCATTTGATTGTGCTGTGTGTCTTTGCCAGTTCTCAGAACAAGACATGCTGAGGTTATTGCCCCTTTGCAATCATGCTTTTCACATTGATTGCATAGACACATGGTTGCTGTCAAATTCAACTTGTCCTCTTTGTAGAGGGAGTCTTTATGAGCCAGGCTTTGCCTTCGAAAACCCAGTTTTTGAATTTGAGGGTCTAAGGGAAGAAGATGTGGTTTCAGGCAGTGTTGTTGGTGAGACTGCTTTCATTAACAAACATGCAGAAAATCACATAATGAATGGGAAAAGGGTGTTTTCTGTTAGGCTTGGCAAGTTTAGAAGCTCAAATAATGGAGAGGAAATGGAAAGAAGTGGTGGAGAGAGCAGTACTAGTAACATGGATGTTAGGAGATGCTATTCAATGGGGTCATTCCAGTATGTGGTAGCTGATTCAGATTTGCAAGTGGCTTTGTGTGCCAATAGAGGTGCTAGTGGCAGTATGAGAAAATTGACAGGAAGATTAGCCCATTATGGGAATTCTTCCACTGATGGAGATGTTGAGGGGAAAAAAATCAACATTGCGAGGAAAGGTGAAAGCTTTTCTGTTTCCAAGATCTGGCTATGGTCTAGGAAGGACAAGGTGTCAGGTTCACCAGGAAACCATTTGGTTAATCCTAATGTCACTGCAACTTTGCCATGGATGAATAGAGATCAAGGTACATGAAGAATCTCAGTGTTTGTATTTTGGACTATTTTCTTATTTTCAACAGTCTTCATTAGAACTCTACCTTTCTTTTTTCATACTTTGATTTTACTTTTTTTTTAATTGATAATACTTGTAAATTATGGCATAAACATTCAATCAAGAAAAGTCGTTTAAATAAGAATTATTCTTGAGTATGTGGAAGGAAAAGCATTTCTTTTGTACAGAATCCTATTTCTGGACTGTGGTGTAATATGTACCCTTAACTAGTAATTTCCTATAAAGATGATCAGAGTCAAGCATCTGTTTTACTCATGAAGTTTTTGGAAATTTATAGTTGGAAGAGGTTATGGGGAAAATAAAAAGGCTGAGAGAGAGAAAGATGTACTAATAAATAGCAAAACTCACAATGGCACCAGATGATTTCAAACATAATTTTTGAATGTGGACCCTGGATGCCATGTGGTGTTTTATTTGTGACAAAAGTGGTCTTTATTATCAATTTCGTGCAATGAGTAGGAAGATTAAAGTGAAGTCAAATTAGGAGTTGCTTTTTGGATGCCTTGGTTTTCTCTGGAGGCTTACTTTAATTAAATCTTTGGGTTAAAAAAGAAACAACAAATAATTTCATTCCTTCTCTCTCTGTTGAAGCTGGACTAAGGATGGGTTTAGCATTTGATTACCAAGATGACGTGATGGATGAAATGAAAGGTGAACAAATTTCCTCATCAGGACTTAAGACATGATTAGACTTTTCCTGTTAGTGCTCCAAATCTAATTATTCCACATTTGTCTCTTGAAATTTTGGCTATTGGTATCATACTAAAAAAAACTTCATAAAAAAATATATTTTTATGAAAGGGGTTACTAGGATTATGTTTTCAATTTTATCGTAGTGGTTGCTAAACGTGTAACTTATGTCAAATTACGTTCTTCAAGAGAAACCACAAACTAGTTAGAAAAAATCTCTATGTAAAAGAATTGTGCAAACACAACATAACAGAACCACGGATTTGATTTGGCTCTGCATGCTGTTTGATACTACATCGTCTCGTATCAAGTACACGTGGCACAATTAAACGATATATTTGGTGAGCACACGATGAAAATAGCATGCATATATGTGAAGAGTGTGTGTAAGTAGTCATTTTAAAACAGTTCTGCCACTGTCATAATATTATTAAACTAGTTTTCTATTAATTAAATTTGATTATTCGAATAATATTTCTAAGAAGAAATGTTTTTCTGTGACATTATATTTGTTGAATTGTCGTGTGAACTATACTACAAAATTGCATTGATTATCTTGACAGGATTCATGTTGATGGCATCTTACGTCATTTACTTTTTACGCAATAATTAATCTATTATTAATTTATTATAACCAATATATTAATGTTTAATAAAAGCTCAAATAAAAAAAATTTAAATTCAACCGAAATAATATATTATATAGCATAACAAGACAAACAACATCCTATAATAGAAGAATCTGACGTGTGATGCAACAGAATAATATTTCTCAATAATTTCACTAGATTTCTTGTATAGTTTAAAATCCTTTATTGTAGCCTTTGGTAATATTTTATTAATACTATTATTGCTAATGCATAAAATTAGGTAATATGATAATACTTCGTCTACTACATCTTAATGTGTTTTGTAAGAATGGAATCTATTGCTATTTTAAAAATTGAGTCAGCATACACTGGGTGTTAATTTAGGCATTTACAGTATTTTTTTTTTTTTTATATAGAATATGAGATCAATTAATTTCACTGTTGATTTAAATTTGTTTATCAAATAAATTGATTTTATAAAAATTTATATAAAAAGAAGATAATTATGTCTCTTGTTATATTATTTTATTTTAATATATAATATATTTTTAAAATATAAATAAATATTTTATCAATCTTGTACTGCATGTGAAGTTATTAAGTTACGTAAGTATTTAAGTTTCACGTTGATGAATCCTAACTTTTTTGAAAATATGCATTATTACTTTTTATTTAACAATTTTTATTAAATTATTATTGTTAATTCAATTAATCAATAAAAATTTTATATATAAAATATTTAAAGAAAAGTGTCCATAAATATTTTAAAATAATAATAAACCTAACTCAAATTCAAATGTACATTTGAGTTGACATAAACTTTTTTTTTTTCATAACTTATGCAAGATTTTTAATAAATAACCAAACATATTCTAAGTGTTAAGGCTTGTTCGTGAAAGAGAAACAAAAGAATACATGTGTTAAGAAGAAAAACAAAAGAAGCTTATAACAAACCAAAAAAGGGTTAACAGGAATAGATATAGAAATGCTTCGTGTTTTCAGACAAAACCCTATCTTGTTATCTTGCAATTGATGTCAACTCCTTAGACCAAGAAAAGCCACCAAATTAATTAGGCCTATGATGGGCCCACTAAGAAAATAGAAAGGTTTTGTAGGATGTTAATCACATCTATTAGCTCGTCACCACAGAAGAACATATCCACGTGGTCTAAATAAAAAAAATAAATTTATATGTAATAATTTTTAGAAATATATAAATTTAATATATTTATTATCTTAAATGTTATAATTTTTATTGTGTATATTAAGAATATTCAATACATGTTAAAATAATTCAAAAATAATATATTAAGAATTTTTCAAAAAATATTCCTTTCATTTTATTATTTGAAGTTTAAAGTTTTTTTATAAGAATTAAGAAAATAATTAATAATTTAAATGTTATAAAAATTTATTTCATAATTTTCTATAATGCTCTTTTTTAATTACACTACTTGTTTTTATTTATTTTATCTATACAGAAAGAAAATTATAATTTTATTTATTTATAAGTATAAGATGATATTCATTGTTATTTTTTATTAGTATTCTTTTTTTCATATAAAATTAATAAGAAAACACGATTTTGTTTATAATTTATTAAATTATTTTTATTTAAAATAATTAAAATTTTGTATTTTAAATACAAAAAGTACGTTTAAAATTAAAATATTATTGGTTAAATGATGATAATTTTTTTATGTTTTATTTTTTTTCTAATAAACGCAGCTTAAAAACTTAAAGATAAAAGGAAACCTAACACATTAGTACGAAGGATGAGACTCCAATAGCATCCATCTTCAAAAAAAGAATTAAAGAGGGAAAGGCTTCATTAAAGCAGAAAAAAAGGATAAATTAGCTCCTAACCCACACTTTGCGAGTCAATCCGTATTCTAATTGGCTTCTCTAAGGACACTAAATCTAATAAACTTTACATTATATAACAATTTCTTAATTTTAGCTTTATACCTAAATAAGATTGATATTTTTGGAAATTACAATTTGAAGAACCAAAAAAAATTTCCCAGAGAAGAATAAGGATCCAAAGAGTTGAAGCACTTGTTATCCTAAATAAGGCCACACAACTAGAAGCACCATGAGATTGGGAAGTAGATCTATCAACATAAAGCTTGAGTTGGCATCCAACGGAGGATGTCATTTAATGTTGCTCTGGACCTCCAACAAGTCAGACATAACCTTTTGGTGAGACCTGCCACAAAATTGGAAATTATCAAACATACAAAATAATCAAACCAATGCAATGCAGAATCCCTTAGGTTAAATGCAAATATTAGCCTCTCTTGGCTATCCATGTGGAAGCACAAAAACTAGAACATGTCAAAAGTTCAAACAGAAAGAAAGCTACTCCTAGCCTAATTAAAAGCCCTTTGAATTTTGAATAAGTTTTCCAATGACATATAATTTGCTTGATTTGGATCTAAATTGAATGAGGTATGTCCATTTAAGTGAAGGAGGGTCTTGTTATTTAGCAGCAACTCGCTTCTAACTTTAAGCCTAATTTTGAACCTAAATTTGATCGAATTAGCCAACAAGCATTTCATAAGAAAGTGTAGATCTCTATCTTAGTTTTTTAGAGCCACCAAGATTGATCAAATCCAATATCTAGAACTTCATATATTGCTCGAATAAGGAGAAAAGGTCAAGATGTAGAAAATTATGAGAATTAAACAAGAAATTCATATAATTCTATTAAAGGCTCAACATCTCAAAACCTTATTTAAATCATGAAATTAAGTTCAATTAACATCCAAGGAGACTTATTATACATTACCAACAATTGCTTGAAAAATAATTGATCAAATTCTCCCACATTTAAGACTTTGCACTCCAAGAAAAATCATAAAATTAAACTATAGGTGATAAATTCATATTTTACCATGTTTTTAGCATAGTTTTTGGTTATTAATTAGGAAAATAGTTCTAAAATAAACTTGAAAAGATCACAAAAATTAAATAATTAGTATAAATTGTTGTTTTGTTGAAATATCAAAAATTGTTTAGATTTTTTGTAGGAGTTCATGCAAAAGATAGAAAGTTGTTGAAAGTGCTTAAAGAAAGGATTAAAAGCTGAAATTAAAGAAGAAAAGTCAAAGAATCAAGCTTGAAAAAATCCTAAGAGCTGGGCGTTACAACTTCAAGTGATTGGCGTTTGAACGTGGAAAGAACAAAATATAGCACTGGGTCTGCGTGGCCACTCTGAGTGATGCGCGTTAACACTCCAGCAACTAAAATTGGATAATTGCCATTGCGTTGAAACGCACATCACCTGAAGCTTTGGCGCGCAATAGAGCGTGGAAATGCATAGCAGATGGCGTAGCAACGCAGAGCTGAGAACATGGAAGAAGTGTTCATTGAAGTGCTGTGCGTTGAAATGCATATCACTTGAAGCCTTGGCGCGCAAGAGCGCATTGCAACTCATAGCACTTGCAACAAAGGCGTGCGGCCACTGCGCGTTTTGGCGCATAATTCTGCAATTTTCATAACTTCTTCTTCCTTCCAATTCTGGACGTTTAAAGCTTTTGTATCACTTTTAGAAGATTCCAGAACACCTGGGGACAACTAACTGTTAGAATTTCAAGGGTTAAGTCGAAGAATTAAAGGAACTCTATAAATAGAAATTAGGAACTTAGAAAAGGGTCTTTTTGCCATTTTTTTGTTTCTTTTCATTTCCATACCTTAGGAGAGTTAGAGAGGGAGATTGGGAGCGACTTCCAAGCTCTAGACCTTGAAGAATCAGGCTGGGGATTGGATTTATGAAGAAATTCTGTTGCTCCTCTTCTCCTACTCTTTCTTTCTCTTTTTCTTTTAGGAACATGTTCTGATTTCTTTTTGTTATGGATTGATGGATCCGATTTTCATATTGTAAATTGATTGTGGATCTGGATTTTAAGATCTTGATTGTATTGAACGCTTAATTCTGTTCTTAATGCAATTGTGAACTAATCCTTCATTCAATTGAACTTAGAGAAATCTTCATCAATGGAAATTGAGTTTATTTCTCAGATCTGAATTAAATGTCAAGGTTATAGATATCTTAGGGATAAGAATTTATGATCTTGTGATCTCTTAATTTCTAATGCCTAATGCAATGTTTGATTGAATTACACCTAAGGAATTAGGGTAGTTTAGTTAGATATTAGGATCAATGAGGCAAGGAATTGTCCTTTGATTAATCTAGTGAAATTGATCATCAATCAATTAAGGAACTTAGAGTTTAGATCTACTTCAATTTGGCAATTGATAAAGAAGTGAAATCAATCCTAACTTCATTTACATATCATTTCATTTCTAAATTCATACCTTTATTTTGCTGTATTTTTCAGATTTCTACACTTTATTGTTCTTGTTTGTTAAATGATTCAAAACACTCCAAATTTGTTTGGCTCAACTAGTTATTGATTTGTGAAGTGATAATTGATATATTTAATCCCTGAGGATGATACTTGGGACTCACATTGATTTCCAAATTTTATTACTTGTTACAACTACCTAGTACACTTGCTAGTTAGTTCTCAAATTGTGTATCAAGTTTTTGGCGCCGTTGCCGAGGATTATTTACTTTCAATATCATTAGTAGCAGAGAGATGACTAGATTGAACATTTCTTTTTGTTATTTTGCTTTCTAATATTTTTTGCATAATTTTTTTTCTACACTTTGTGTAGTTTTCTGCATAATTTCGTTTTGCATTTTTCTGCATAGTTGTAAATCTCATTCTGCATAAATTTTTATGTTTTCTGCATGTTTTATTTTATAACTTTTTGCATAGTTTTAGATTTCATTTTGCTTAGTTACTGATTTCATTTGAATTTTGTTTACTTTCTTTTTGTATGCAAGGAAAAACTAGAAAAATAAGTTGCTCTATTGTTTGATGGCAACCAGCA